TGGGGAAGAGATGGCCAGCCCTCTGTGGAGATAGAGGTGGTTAGGGACTATTTAGAAAAGCTGTACGTGCACAAGTCCATGGGGCCAGACGAGTTGCATCCGAGAGTGCTGAAGGAATTGGCGGCTGTGATTGCAGAGCCATTGGCCATTATCTTTGAAAACTCGTGGCGAACAGGGGAAGTCCCGGATGACTGGAAAAAGGCTAATGTAGTGCCAATCTTTTAAAAAGGGAAGAAGGAGGATCCTGGGAACTACAAGCCAGTCAGCCTCACCTCAGTTCCTGGAAAAATCATGGAGCAGGTCCTCAGAGAATCAATCCTGAAGCACTTGCATGAGAGGAAAGTGATCAGGAACAGCCAGCATGGATTCACCAAGGGAAGGTCATGCCTGACTAATCTAATCGCCTTTTATCATGAGATTACTGGTTCTGTGGATGAAGGGAAAGCAGTGGATGTATTGTTTCTTGACTTTAGCAAAGCTTTTGACACGGTCTCCCACAGTATTCTTGTCAGCAAGTTAAGGAAGTATGGGCTGGATGAATGCACTATAAGGTGGGTAGAAAGCTGGCTAGATTGTCGGGCTTAACAGGTAGTGATCAATGGCTCCATGTCTAGTTGGCAGCCGGTGTCAAGTGGAGTGCCCCAGGGGTCGGTCCTGGGGCTGGTTTTGTTCAATATCTTCATAAATGATCTGAAGGATGGTGTAGATTGCACTCTCAGCAAATTTGCGGATGATACTAAACTGGGAGGAGTGGTAGATACGCTGGAGGGGAGGGATAGGATACAGAAGGACCTAGACAAATTGGAGGATTGGGCCAAAAGAAATCTGATGAGGTTCAATAAGGATAAGTGCAGGGTCCTGCACTTAGGACGGAAGAACCCAATGCACCGCTACAGACTAGGGGCCGAATGGCTAGGCAGCAGTTCTGCGGAAAAGGACCTAGGGGTGACAGTGGATGAGAAGCTGGATATGAGTCAGCAGTGTGCCCTTGTTGCCAAGAAGGCCAATGGCATTTTGGGATGTATAAGTAGGGGTATAGCGAGCAGATCGAGGGACGTGATCGTTCCCCACTATTTGACATTGGTGAGGCCTCATCTGGAGTACTGTGTCCAGTTTTGGGCCCCACACTACAAGAAGGATGTGGATAAATTGGAGAGAGTCCAGCGAAGGGCAACAAAAATGATTAGGGGTCTAGAACACATGACTTATGAGGAGAGGCTGAGGGAGCTGGGATTGTTTAGTATGCAGAAGAGAAGAATGAGGGGGGATTTGATAGCTGCTTTCAACTACCTGAAAGGGGGTTCCAAAGAGGATGGCTCTAGACTGTTCTCAATGGTAGCAGATGACAGAACGAGGAGTAATGGTCTCAAGTTGCAGGGGGGAGGTTTAGATTGGATATTAGGAAAAACTTTTTCACTAAGAGGGTGGTGAAACACTGGAATGCGTTACCTAGGGAGGTGGTAGAATCTCCTTCCTTAGAGGTTTTTAAGGTCAGGCTTGACAAAGCCCTGGCTGGGATGATTTAACTGGGAATTGGTCCTGCTTCGAGCAGGGGGTTGGACTAGATGACCTTCTGGGGTCCCTTCCAACCCTGATATTCTATGATTCTATGGTGTGCCTAAATTTGAGGCCACATTTGTATTCCTAGTCAGTGGAACATGACTGGACTAAAGAAGCTACAAGCTCTGAAACTGGGAGAAGGTCTCTCTAGCAGTTGATGGATGCCTTCATTCTGTTCATTTGAATGACAGTTTCAAGAGCTTTTAATGGGGGGAGTCACCAGTACAGTCAGCTATTTTCTTGAAAGAGTCGAGAAGATGAACTGATTTTGAAAAGGAAAGCAAAGAGGAAGTTTAAGAAAGGGAAAGTTTAAAAAAAAAATCAAAAACAGACCTATATTTTGTCAGATAAGCCCAATAAACCATTAGGTCTGGTATTGTCCCTCCATCAGCAACCTATGCCTGTTGTTTAACCAAAAGACAGACAGATCAGAATGATTTGAAGCTACCATCCAACTAACTGTATTAATTATCAGCTTGGACAACTGCTTTTTATTGAAGCAAGTGTACACATGCTAGTTGGGACAGATGCAAAGTGGGAGGATTTCTACAGGAACAAAGTGAATTGAGAAAATCTTGCTGAAAGGAATGTATGTGACAGAAATTTAAATTTACTTAATTTTATCCTTCTCACCCTATTCCTTTCAGTTCCTTTCCCAATCTGCTTATGTAAAGTGAAAAAGATTTAAAATTCTAATTAAATGTCTATTCCCCAAAATAGAAAGTTATTTGTAATGAGAAATACAAGAACCTGAAAAAAGAGTGCTTAAACTAATCTTAGTAAGTTTATAGGGGATGAGAGGTTAGTTAAATCTCCATGATTATTCAGTTGGGTGTGTGTGAATGAAAAAGGGGAAGAGGGAACTTATTTTGTGTATCAGATGGCAAATAGTACAGTTCAAATCCTAGAAGTACAGAATAACAGAAATGGAAAAAATGTGGCAGGCCAATTTCATCACTGTTGTGATTTCAATGAAGATTATGTGGTTCTGAGATTTTGGAAGATCATCGGAGTTTTCTTTATGGAACCCTTCATTTGCAATCCATCTCAGTACAGTGGGAGTCAGCTATTGTCCATATCCATTCAAATGGGAGTATTAAGTTTGAAAGAAATAAAGGACTGATCCTTTAATTAACTGCAGCATTTAGAATTACATTCAGTAACTATTTTCTAGGGGCTTAAGGCCAAGGAATCTCTCTCTTCTAAACTCTTCTCTAGCGCTAAACATTTAATAATCACTCAAACAAGGAAGGTATGTTTTCCTCGTCCTTTACATATCAGGAAGCAGTGATTCTGAAAAAGATTTAGGGTTGTGGTGGATAATCAGCTGAACATGAGCTTCCAGTGTGATGCTGTGGCCAAAAGAGCTAATACAATCCTGGGATACATAGGAGAATCTCAGGAGGAGTGTAAAAAGTTATTTTTCTTTTATAGTTGGAACAGTTATGACTGTTGGTGGAATACTATGTCCGGTTCTGGTGCCCACAAATCAAGAAGGATGTTGATAAATTGGAGAGGGTTCAGAGAAGAGCCACAAGAATGTCTGGGATAAAAACCATGCCTTTTAGTGATAGACTTAAAGAGCTCAATCTGTTTAGCTTCGCAAAGAGAAGGTTAAGGGATGACTTGATTACAGTCTATAAGTACCTACATGAGGAACAAATGTTTAACAATGGACTCTTCAATCTAGCAGAGAATGTGTAATCATCATTTATCCCTGCCACTTGAGCTAAAGAAGTAACTCTATTAGTCATCAGTCAGTAGCAACCACTAGAGGGAGACATGGTTACACTATTTAAGCCACTGTATTACACATGCATCTTCAAATCAGGTACAGTATTTGTGTATGCAGTTATCTAGTTTGTGTGTTCAAATGTGGGGGTTGTATGTACCAACATGGGGGCATATGCATGCACAAATGCACTGTTGTCAGCCAAAAGCCAGATGCTTTCAAAAGTTGGTCCACAAAGTCCATTTAGGAACATACAGGCAGTCATTTATCATGTCCACCTCTGTACAATGCTAAAGGGGAAAAATGACTCATCAGACATTTATCCTTCCAGGCTGTTACATTAGGGAAAAGTTAGTTTACCCTATTTACTGGGGTATGGTATTCACTGTCAAAGAAAATTGATACTTTCCTATACTCTTCCCATTCATTCTCTGAATATGAATGTAATAGTAACACTCATAGTTTATCATCTACAGATCTCAAAGTTTTTACAAAAGTGGAAAGCATAATTATCACTTGATGGGGAAACTGACTTAGTGATTTGCCAAAGGGTACATAAGTGATGAATGGCAGAGCTCAAAATTGATCCCAGGTCTCCTGGCTCCCAGTTGGGCACTATATCCACTGGACCACAATGAAAGAGTGTCTTTCCCTCTCCCACCTTGTTTTGCTATATTCTGATGAAGGGACTGATTCTCCAACGGGAGAAAGTACTATCTGATGGCTAAAGAATAGGTCTAGGACTCTGAATATTTGGGTTCTCTTTTTGGCTCTGCCACTGATCCATTGTCTACCCCCAAGGCAAGTTACTTCACCTATGTGTGCCTTACTTTGCCCAGTTAGAAACCACCCTACCTCTAATGTGTTGTGAGACTTAGCCAATAAATATTTTTAAAGTATTTTGAGATCCTCAAATGAAAGAGTATGCTTTGTGCACACTGCACAAGTGAAACATTAAGATTCAAATATTAGCTGTTTTTACTCTCACCTTTCATTAGCCCTGCAAAAAGTATCACTTGCAAGTTTGTGTTGGCTTTCCAGGTTTTCCTGTTCTTTTTCCACTCGACATAAACATGGTCACCATTTTACAGTCAGGTGCTAAATATTTTTCTTCACAAACATTGTATAGAATGTGCTGCCTAACTTGTGTATAAAACACGGAGTATGTGGAGGACAGGGAAGGGCGAGGGGATGGTGGGAGTGTCCAGGCGGGAGCTACCTGGTCGTGACCATGTAATAATTGCTTTTAACTAAATAGAGCTTTTGAAAATGTGGTCAAATAAATCAGAGAATAAAACTGAAATCTGAATTGCTAATTAAAAACAAGGTTGTGATGATATCAAGTTGGTGGATAAACTTATTCAGTCTTAGTAGTTTTCTTTTAATAATTCTGCTCCTCATTGTAATAAGCACAACTAAGAGAAAATAACTGATTTTAATCAGGCCAGACTATAACACCTAGGGGTGCATTTCAGTCCCTCCCCCCCCCCCCCCCCCCCGTGTAATGCCTGGGGCTGCTCTCCTGTTTAATAAGCATTTTCCACAATACACTGTGAAATTATAATGTTAATTATGATGAAGATAGATTTGAAATCCTTCATCTAGGGCATTGGAATCAGGCGGCATTTATCATCAGCATCAAAACCTACTGCTAGGGGTTTGCTAATGATTCATTAATCTTTTTAATTGTTAAAGTTCTTGTACTCACTTGATGATAGATAGTCTCCCAGTTCTCTCTCAGTGCTTCCCAGCTGTTGACATTGGATGACTTCTTTTCCAGGTAGATTCTGATGTGCTCTTCCAGCTCTTGGTTGACCTGTTCGAGAGCTCTCACTTTCTCTATGTACTCCACCAGGCACCCATTCAGGCTCTCATAGGATAGGCCCCTTCCCTTTTCCAGCCCCTGGGCTAATGGCACAGTTAAACAGGAGCTGCGCAGACCTTGTAAGAAGACACTGCTGATGCCTAGGGCTCTACGGGACACGCGGGTGCCTAGGCTGCTCACACCTCCAGTGGGGACAATACCCACATAGACACCTCGGGGTCTAGGTAGGCTGCCACTACCCCCAATGCTTAACCTTTGGCTGGTAGCCCCAGTGCTTTCAGTCGTGGAGGAAGAGGGCTGTTGCCCCAAGAATGAAGATCTACGTCTTGGCATGGGCATGCTGCAGCTAGAGTCTATTGCACTAAACAGGTTGACTCTGCCTTGAAGCCTCTGTGCCGTACCCACACTGGTAGGATTTGCAGAACCAAGCAGATTTTTGGTTTTGTGTTGTTTTTGCTTTGTCCCAACTCCTTCTGGAACATTAACATTGTTTCACTGATCATCACAGGCATGGTTGTCACATTGGGGCTTTTCACTGGGTCAGCAAATCCATTTAAAAAGAAATCTCTCTGCTGCTACTGCTGCAAGTATAGCATATGAAAAGGACAAAGCTGTTTACGGTGACTGCAGAACAATAATTTCTTATAGTGCATATGTTAAAATAAAACTGGTGTTTTCTAGGCTGCAAGGCAGACAGATTCTTAGCATATTACATATACATATATATTACACACACACACGGCTAGATTCTGGCACCCTTATTCATGTTGAGAAGAACCATACTTCATGAGTAGTCCTATTTGTAGAATCACGGAAGTGTAGGACTGGAAGGAACCTTGAGAGGTCATCTAGTCCAGTCCCTGTACTCAAAGCATAATAATTAGACCATTCCTGACAGGTGTTTGTCTAACTTGTTTTTAAAAACCATCAATGATGGAGATTCCACAGTCTCCCTAGGCAATTTGTTCCAGTTCTTAACTACCCTAATAGGAATTTTTTTCTAATGTCCAACCTAAACCTCCCTTGCTGCAATTTAAGCCCATTGCTTCTTTTCTGATTCTGAGAGGTTAACTAGAACAATTTAACACCCTCCTCCTTGTAACAACCTTTTATGTACTTGAAATACTGTTATGTCCCCCACTCAGTCTTCTCTACTCCAGACTAAACAAACACATTTTTTTCAGTCTTTTCAATCTTTCCTCAGAAGTCATGTTTTCTAATCCTTTAATCATTTTTGTTGCTCTCCTCTATTTTTCTTCAATTTGTCCACATCTTTTCTGAAATGTGGCTCCCAGAACGGGACACAATAGTCCAGCTGAGGCTTTATCAGCATAGAGTAGAGTGGAAGAATTACTTCTCTTGTCTTGATTTCAACACTCCTGCTAATACATCCCAGAATGATGTTCCCTTTTTTTGCAACACTTACACTGTTGACTCATATTTAGCCTGTGATCCATAGTAACCTCCAGATCCCTTTCTGCAGTACTTCTGCCTAGGCAGTCATTTCCCATTTTGTATGTGTGCAACTGAGGCCTTGTCTACACTACAGGGGAAATTCGATCTAAACTACGCAATTTGAGTTACTTGAATAGCGTAACTCAAATTGACATAGCTTAGATCTACTTACTGTGGGGTCCATACTACGAGATGTCGATGGGAGATACTTTCCCGTTGACTCCCCCTACTCTTCTCAATCCAGTGGAGTACAGGAGTCAATGGGAGAGCAATCTGCAGTTGATTTAGCGGGTCTTCACTGGACCCGCTAAATCGACCGCCAGTGTATCAATTGCCGCACGTCGATCCGCCGGTAAGCATAGACAAGCCCTGATTGTTCCTTCCTAAGTGGAATACTTTGTCCTTATTGCATTTCATCCTATTTACTTCAGACTATTTCTCCAGGTTGTCTAGATTATTTTGAATTATAATCCTGTCCTCCAAAGCACTTGCAACCCTTCCCATCTTGGTATCATCCGCGAACTTTATAAGTGTACTCTCTATGTCATTATCGAAATCATTTATGAAGATATTGAACAGAACCGGAGCCAGGACCGATCCCTGTGGGATCCCACTCAGTATGTCCTTCCAGCTTGATTGGGAACCACTAATAACTACTCTCTGGGAACGGTTTTCCAACCAGTTATGCACCCACCTTTTAGTAGCTCCATCTAGGCTGTATTTTCCTAGTTTGTTTATGAGAAGGTCATGTGAAACAGTAGCAAAAGCCTTACTAAAGTCAAGACATACCACATCTACCATTTCTTCCTATCCACAAGGCTTGTTCCCTGTCAAAGAAAGCTGTTAGGTTGGTTTGACACAATTTGTTCTTAACAAATCCATGTTGACTGTTCCTTATCACCCTGTTGTCTTCCAGGTATTTGCAAATTGATTGCTTGATTATTTGCTCCAATATCTTTCTGGATATTGACGTTAAGGTGACTGGTCTGTAATTCCCCAGATTGCACTCATTCCCTTTTTTATAGATGGGCACTATATTTGCCCTCTTCCTGTCCTATGGAAGACACGAGAGATTCCAGGAGTTTTCAAAGATAATTGCTAATGGCTCAGATATCTCCTCAATGAGCTCCTTGAGTATTCTAGGAAGTATTTCATCAGGTTGTGCCGACTTGAAAACATAATACTTATCTAAGTAATTTTAACTTGTACTTCTCTAATTTAGCCTTAGATTCTACCTCATTTTCATTGGCATTCACTATGTTAGACATCCAATCGCTTTGTACCTAGGGGACTGCTCATGGAGTAAACTACTACTCAAAATGGGCATGAGTATTGAAAGCTGGCTCCCAGCATATATGTCCAGTTTCCAAAGAGTTAACGGGAACATAACCTACCTGGATTTTAATTGATTCAGAAATTAGAATTTCCCCTTCACCCTCCAGAGTTTCTCTGGGTCTCTGAGACATTACATTGTCATTTCTCCAGACTTTAACTTCACCTTTACAACCATATGAAGCATCACATCACAACCACCGGCCTTCTGGCTAAGGACTGCACAAGAACTTGTAGAGTTAGCTCTACCTATTCTAGCAGCATATGTCATGCTTGCCACATTCTTTTTTCTGTATTTTTAAAACCCCCAATAGCATAGGTGCACATGAATGAAACGTACTGACTAAATGGAAGATAAAGGTTAAAAGACTTTTTTTTCATTCTCTTTATTTCAGTTTTTCCTTATTGGGTGTTTGCATAGTATTTGGATGGGTAGTTTATACAAGTAAATAGATGATATAATAGGCACGTGGCATAATGTTTTTCAGCAAGCAGAGGCCATGTATATTGACATGCATGGTCCAACAGACACATCAAAATTATAAAATCAGAATTGTTCCTGTTTAGGATTAGTATATGGGCATGTACCCAGGTGTGTTTGTGGTATACTGATGACAAGCACTGACCTTGTGTAGTGTAGGTTTATATATGGGTGTTCAGATGTAGTGGGGTGGATTTGGACTGGAATGTCCTCCCATATATCTATATGATAAGATTCCAGAATTGTCACTGAGTGTCTGTCTGAAGCTTATGATGTCTATAAAGTCATTAGGAATTAATGGAAACAGTTACAAGCATGGTTGACGGCTCTTTTTGTTCACAATATCACCAGGTTCAGTCTGTTCATGTCCAGTTTTTGCATTTTCAGCTGTTTTGATTGTATGAGTTATATCTGTGTTATATGCAGCTACAATAAGGCATGTATCTATGCCCTGCCAAGAGTCCTAGACCATTGTGATAGCATAGGTAACTCAGCCAATCAGTGCCCTTACTCTACAGCTAATTTGCACACAACAGTTTCATTGGTGTAATGAGGGACGTTGCATAGATAGTGGCTTTTTTGGCCCAACTGCCATGCTCCAGCACACACCCTTCATTTGCCACTTACACAAATCAGCACAACTCTCCCAGCACAACACAACCCCAAATACACACGGTTCCTCATTGCAGCACACACCCCTCATTTGACACCTGCATAAATCAACACAGATCTCTCAGTACAATCCCCTCACACACACACACACACACACACCCCAACAGAACCAGTGAGCACGATAACCCCAAACATCACTCGGAAGCCTGGAATGTTTGTACAGTCAGTGTGCAGTGATAGAAACAGTCAAAAACTGAGAGCTCTTTTTGTTTAGAATATTGGTAGGTTCAGTTATTGCTGGGATTTGTGGTCTGTTACAGTCTGGTTTATAAATTCTCAGCCATTTTTGGTTGTTTTACATACACGACTTTATGAATTACACCTGTGTAACAGCATGGACTTTTGGCTTATATCTATAATAAAAGCTGCCTAGGTATGTGTTTGGACATTTGGGAGGTGATATTTGGTTTTGGATGTGCTTTCTAGAACTGAGTTTATGCACTCTAACAAGGACGCTGCGGTTTTCCTTCATTTGCCTGTTGTCACGAGTGATGAGATGACTGTCATTGGTATGAACCATTCTGCGTATAGTTTTTTTTAATTTGTAGTGTCTGATGATGAGTTCGATGATAATTGTAGCCACCATTATTCATTTGCCTATAGAATGTATGAGATCTGGGAACTCAAAATCATTAGTTTTTTTGGGGTGAGGAGAGAGGATAAGGAGGGGGACAGATTTCTAGCCAGTATTTCACTATGTCCCGTAGCCTGTATCCCTTATCCTTTTTGCTATCATCAGCCATGACCTTTAGGGTAGGAGCTAATTGGTGAAGTCCCAATGGAGTCTGTTTAGCATTTTGTAGTGATTAATTTAGTTTGCTGTCTCTAATAGACCTGTTTTATGCCACTCTGCTTTATATGTCTTGTTGATGTCTACACCCATAGTTTTTCCATCAGTGAATTATTTTGTGGCTTTTTTTATTAAGAAAAGGAGTGCTTGTGGCACCTTAGAGACTAACCAATTTATTTGTTTATCCCCGCCCCCCACACACACACTGTTCCTCAGATGTTCTTGTTAACTCCTGGAAATGTGCTGGAAATGGCTAACCTTGATTATCACTTCAAAAGGTTTTCTCTCCCCCCACCCCACTCTCCTGCTGGTAATAGCTCATCTTAAGTGATCACTCTCCTTACAATGTGTATTTTTTCATGGTCTGTGTGTATATAAATCTCCTCACTGTATTTTCCACTTTATGCATCTGATGAAGTGAGCTGTAGATCACGAAAGCTCATGCTCAAATAAACTGGTTAGTCTCTAAGGTGCCACAAGTACTCCTTTTCTTTTTGTGAATACAGACTAACACGGCTGCTGCTCTGAAACCTGTTATTAAGAAGGTTCATGCCAGGCAGATTTGGCATCTGTAGTATGCAGGAAAATTCTATACTGGGACGGTTAGATTTGCTAACTTTTTTTCATGGAGTGGTGGTGGTGTAAGCATGCCCAGAAATCAGAGGGCCCTGGTAGGTATATTTATTGTAGATGTTAAGATTGAATTAGCATCCTTGCATATGCCAACTAGAAATAACACATCCTTTCTAAGCCATGCCATCCAAAAAATCTTTACTACTTATTTCTAAATGCTGTTTCTTTAGATATGGGAGCTCTAGGATGCCTGATATGTCGAGTAGCATGTATTTTTCTGCATGGTGTTGTCTGTCTTTATTTTTCCAAAATCTGTGTTGAATAATGGGGCAACAGTGTTTAAATTCCTTACAGTCTTTGTATAAGTATCCTCCAGCTGTAAAATCTGTTATATGTGCTTAATTAAGACATTTAGTATTTCCTCAGTCCTTCACTCTGTAGAGAGCATTGTGTGAGATTCATTTGGAGTAGATTAAAGACTTGTGGTATCTTTTCAAACTTGAGAGTTGTATACGTTATCCAGTGCCAGTGGGTAATGCTAGCCAGGTAGGGTTATGGCCATGACCTCCTGGGGAATGTGCTGATTCAGTGACCTTATTAGGGAACCTTGATGGAGGGCCTTCTATAGAACCCCACTGGTAAATTAAAGGAGCACTCCCCTGGAAGTACCTTAAGGAGATGCTGGTGGTATAAACACTGCTTGTCTTTCTACAGGGGCGAATTCCCTCTTGGTGTAGAGACTGTTGCTGGCACAGAAGAGTGAAATTTGCATTTACATTGTTCGTACTAGCAAGTGTGACTCAGACCCTATGTACATATGCAGAGACATAATATATATTCTATTATTCCTATTCTACTCAAATATCCAATTTGAATCTACATTACAAATCAAACAGCTAAAAGTTCTCCAGTCTTTTTTAAATGATACTTTCAGTATAGTTTCCCCATATAGCATATAACAAATTCAGCCCTTGCAGAAGATAAGTACAACTCTTATTAACGCCAACGGGAATTGTACCTGCTTCTGTAAGGAAGATATGAATTTAACTCTATTCACTGTCCCTTTATGCTTCAGATGATAAATACACAGTGTACAGTGTCCTGCAGCCTTTTCCACAGGCCAGATCCTAGTGAAGTTTGTTACACCCTAATCCGATCAGATGTTCCTCAAATGGAATGTTTATCATTCAGTCACCAGAGTTAAGGATGTACAGCTTTTGCCTCTCCGTTGCGCGTGTGTGCACTTGAATGCTCTCATTGTCCATATCCATATCCAATAACTTCTTGACAGTAAATCTAATTACCTATTAGAGAAGCAGAGAAACTATACTTCTCTGATTCAAAGAGATGAATGAAATGACCAGTAACAGCCATTCTATCCTTAAAAGCTATGATTTTATGGTTCTGTGAAGATTGTGGCCCAGATTCGGAGTACTGTCTCAGCATTGTAGAAGGGGTGGGTCTAAGCTGCTTTTGTGGCTCCAAGATTCTAGCGCCAGCACTAGTTAGATTAATGATATATGCTAGACTAGTGGCACCCTGGAGGCTGCACTAATTTATGTCCAGCTACCCACAGCACTCAGGGCCAATCTGGCAGCAAGGAACAGGTAGATTAACGGGGCCCTGGTCACATTCCTGTTTATCTAGTCATGCCTGCCAGACCATGGGACTACACTAGCTCTACAGCACCTGAGCATTCCCCTTATGCAAGGGAAATTTTTTGCTAGCCAAGTAAGCTGGTGTTCTGGCTTCATTTGAGTAGCACAAAGCACCCAGAGTAGGAGCTAATATCTGTCTGTCCAACTGGAAAACCCTGGCAGGGTCTCTACTGTCTCACAGTCTACCCCTGATTTAAACTGTGTATGCAATTAGCAACATTAAATAAATAAATAAAAATATCTAGTGAGTAAAGGATAACAATAGAGAGAGAAGAGCTTGGACCTCAGTCAATGAACAGTATAGGAAAGGGGATCTCGGGAGCAAAAAATGAAAACACATCTTTTGATGCCGGTACTAGGTTGTTCAAGGGGAGGACATGCCATTGATTTAGGTAATGACATTACAGTTTTCATTTTATTCTCTATTGCTTTTAATACATCCTGATATCTTGATCTTTATTACCCACCACTACTCATTGAACAGAGATCTTAATTAAGTTGGCTAGTTCAACTTGCAGGCAAGTTTTATGGAGGGCTCTCATTTACTGCCATTACACTATAGAATTTACTGGCAAAACTTCCATTGTCACCAGGACTTCAGTGTGAGTGTTGCCTGAGGGAGAGCAGGGTATTAGTCCCCTAGGGAACTATTCTTCCCTCAGTATTGCACATATTTGCTATCCAGATTCCTATGATCATCCTAAATCATTAGGCAAAAACTGTCTGATAGGAGGAGTGCTGGAGGTGTGGCGATCTCGCAGAAGAATGGGAGGTGCACTGAAGCATTCAGAGAGCATTGCAGGAGCATGCTGTATAGCTTATGTTGATTGGTGAAAGATGCAGCATTCACTCCCCTCAGCTCAGGCTGCTAGATGCTCACAGGAGGTAGTGCCTTATCCAAGCCGTTGACCTGGCTATCCGTTCCCTGCTGGGGCAATGACTGGACTTCTGCCAGGCTTGCTAGCCAATTCCCTAAAGCTCAGGGACTGCTAGCATCAGCATGCTGTCTGGGTCCAGCACTACAGTGCTAGGGCTGAGAGGGGCTCAGTGTGTTGTTGTCTGTCTTCCATAGCTCATCCCAGAGGAACAGCTAGAAAATATCCCAGCATATTAGATCACTACACTTGCTCTATCATGCAAATCTAATGTAGAATTTGTGCCAAACAGGGGTGATATCTGTTTCACCTTTATGAATATTATATATCCATGTTCAAATATGTTAAGGGCTGATATAAAGAGGATGGTGATCAATTGTTCTCCGTGTCCATTGAAGATAGGACCAGAAATAATTGGCTTAATCTACAACAAGGGAGATTTAGGTTTGATATTAGGAAAGACTAACTATAAAGATAGTTAAACTTTGGAATAGGTTTCCAAGGGAAGTTGTGGAATTCCCATCACTGGAGTTTAAGAACAGATTGGAAAAATTAATATGCAAACTAGATACCATTAACTTGGGTTTGAATAGAAACTGGGAGTGGCTGTGTCATTACACATATTGAATCTATTTCCCTAAAGTTAAGTATCCTCATACCTTCTTGTCAACTGTTTAAATTGGCCATCTTGATTATCACTACAAAAGTTGTTTTCTCCTGCTGATAATAGCTCATCTTAATTAATTAGCCTCTCACAGTTTGTATGGCAACTTCCAACTTTTCTGTATGTATATATATTTCTTCTTACAATATGTTCCATTCTATGCATCTGATGAAGTGGGCTATAGCCCACAAAAGCTTATGCTCTAATAAATTTGTTAGTCTCTAAGGTGCCACAAGGACTCCTGTTCTTTTTGCGGCTACAGACTAACACGGCTGCTACTCTGAAACCTTGTTCTTGAAGAAGCTGTCCTGAGCCATTGCTTTTTAAACTGCTCACGAGTACCTAGAGAAGATTCTGTAGCCAGACCCAAACCAATTTGGGCTGGCTGAGGTAAATACAATTGGTGAAACCTAGTGATCCTGTCTAAAGTGGGGTAACTGTGGAGTTCCATTCTGGACAAAGTGCAGTAGAGGTCTGTCACTACGAAAGAGTGCCCATGGAGAGACAGAGGAGATTCACAGGTACAGGTTGCCCCTGCATCATGACAGGGTGTAGTACCAAACAGGCACTGTTTTCAGTGAAGCTAACCTTACCTGGTGGTGATACAGACTAAACATTCTGTATAAGCATTTAGTAAATGACAGCAGGAAAAGCAGTTGGTTCAATAGATGTTTTGCTTAGAAATACCTTTATTTTATAAAGCCACAGTTTGCTCTGTAAAGTTTTACCACACTTATAAAAAAGAGGTTGACAATTCTTAGGGGGGAAAAAAGCTGAAAACATTTCTCATAATTCAGGGTTACACAAAGATTATATTTATAATATATATATGTATTTATAATTTGGAGACACTAAAGATGGAACGGCAATACAAGGACAGATGTGGGGTCATATTTCAGACACTTGCTCATGTCCTACAAATAGTGTTTCTTGACAGAATGGGTTAACAAGGACCATCCCACTGTCTCTGTAATCACCATTGGCTGGGGAGCGTGGCTCAGACAGATGGTCCTAGGAGAAAGAGAGAAAAAGAGCATGAACTATTTAAATTCTGTTATCTACCCTCGGTGTACATTACAGCACATTGCTGTGTGTGTTTATGGAATATAAAGGAATGTGGTTACATTATAAGATCTATAGAGTTTAAAGCCAAGAGAATATGTGCAAATTCTTCAAAGTGTCCCCTAATTTTGGGCGCCCCAATTTCTGGATATCCAGCTTTAGAAAACCAGGCCTTGATTTCCAGAGGTTTTGCCAAACTGCAGTCAGTGGGAGCTGTGGGTTGTAAAATCAGACCACTGCTTACTCAACTTGGCCACCCAAAAATTGAGTAGCCCAAAATTATAGGCCATTTTATAGAATTTGGCTCTATATGTCATTTTGCTTTCTTCAAATTTTGCAAAAGTAATATTTTGTGAAATTTCATATCCATGATTCCCAGCCAGTCAGCTACAGGAAAGACTCTCCCAAGCCTGCATAGAAGGGAATTATGGGGGAATGAATTCAAAGATACGTTTTCAACCTCTTTTTTTAATGTAACAAGAGCGAATATGTGGTGCCATGGTATCCAGAAAATGTCGATGACATTAACAGTGGAGTCTGTTCCTTTTCCACTTCATATTAGTGACAAGACAGCAAAGAAACATTATAGTTGCGATTCTGGCTTTGGCTAAATTTTCTTATAAAATTAGAAATTGCAGAGCCGCAAACCCCATGTACTTACTGGGGTCAGGAATAGGGATCAATAGAAATTTAGTTTTTAAAAATGAATCTCCACATTAAAAAAAACAAGGCAAAAATATCCACACATTTTTTCAAAGGGTTGCTGTATTTCATATCTATATCTATCCATCTCAGTGCTCCTACATAATCTCAAATGGCCAGCCAGGGGTCCTGGACGTATGAGGGCATTTTGGGAGACTCCCTATGCTGCACTGATCCTTAGTTGCGTTTTTGGCCCCTTGGGGCCACTAGCAGGTTATACAATATATTCTCTAATACTATGTCAAATTCAGTTTTAAATAACTCAAGTTATAGGGCTTCCACCCCTTCTCATTTTGGTGACTATTCCACACCCTAACACAGGGGTAGCCAACCTGAGCCTGAGAAGGAGCCAGAATTTACCAATGTATGTTGCCAAAGAGCCACAGTAATAAGTCAGCAGCCCTGCATCAGCTCTCCCACCCCGCTCCTAGCCCCTCCCACCCACCAGCAGCCCCGGGGATCAGCACCTCCTCCTCGCACCTCCCGATCAGCTGTTTCATGGTATATAGGAGGCTTGGGGGGGGGGGTGGAGTGGGGGCAGAGCCAAGGGTTGAGCAGTGAGCACCCCTTGGCACATTGGAAAGTTGGCGTCTGTAGCTCCAGCCTCAGCGTTGGTGCCTATACCAGGAGCCGCATATTAACTTCTGAAGAGCCGCATGTGGCTCCGGAGCCACAGGTTGGCCACCCCTGCCCTAAAAGATCTCACCATTAGGAAGTTGTCTCTTGGTGTGGCTAGAGAGGAGTTTGTGGTTTGGTTTTAAATTGAGTTAGATGAGTGCCAGTTAACTAAGTTAACCAACAGAATTGTAAATGATAGTCTAGACACTTCCCAAAGGCTTGTTTCTGGACACAAATGTTTGTCACTTACCCAAACCTGGCTCACTCAGCTAACTTGAGTTAAAATAGACACTAGTGTAGACACTTGTTTAATCCTTTATCCTTTGCTTAATTTCATCCATTATTCCCAAGTTTACATTCTTGAACTAAGCCAACTAATTCCTCTTCTTCCAAGCTATCGAACACTTCTCGCACTGGTGAGCACCTACCCATGTGAATAGTTCCATTGAAATCAATGAGAATGCTTGGGTAAGTGCTCACCAGTGTAAGTAAGGGTTTCACAGTCTTACTGGCAGGTGTTTACAATTTTCTCTTACTTGTAGAATGCACCCCTGAAACTGTCACAGGAGAAGCTACAGAAACCTCTTGAGAACTGGATGTTCAGACATCTTTTATGTTATTAACTTCCACTGTGCCATCATCATGATATATGGGCACATTACAGAGATTAAGCTGAACCACTGTAGACAATAATTGGCACAAATCATACTACTGCCACAAATACCCTGAACCACTCCCACTCATTGAATGGAATGCTATACTCAACTGTAGGCCCAAATTAAGGCAAGGCCAAAGTGAACAACCTTGTGTTGTACTGCTTAACCCAGGGTGTTCAGTCCTAGGAATAGACAGCAAGAGCTTTCTGGAAAAACATAACTTTAACAACAGGACACAGAATCTTTGAGATACAGTAAGTGTGTCATCACATCACACTGGGGTGAGCTTCCTTGAAAGGTTGTTTCTCTGGATGTACATAAAGTTTTCAAAAGAGTTTATTAATATTATTCATCTAGTATGGTTTCAGTAAAGCTTGTCAGTCGCTGGATATGTTACCATGCAACTATGGTACCTCTGAAGTTTCAAGGGACTGGATCTCTCTTGGTAACTCTACAGCATGCCTGTTGAAGTAGTCCATGGTGATAGCATTGTTCCAATAGCTCAGGTTGTTTTCTGGGTTAGATGTCTTTTTCTTCCTCCTCATGCAGCAGACTGTCAGCAGAACTGCTGTTAACAGAAAAATTACAAGAAATTGATAGGTTCTGTGGGAAGTCACTTAGTGACTTGGATTTGTTTCTCAAGACATGTGGCCATATTGAGATATCCTTACTCACATGGAATAGTGTCTTACTCCACTGCTGTTATGGAGCAAGATGCTACTGAAATGAGCAAGTGTTTCAGAATCTAGCCCATACAGAGTATGTTTTGGGCTTTGCAGAAATTGCAGCTTTTCCTTACCTTCTGAGGCCACTTTTAGAATTTGCTGCAAGACCCAACCCTCTTGTTTTTGATGAAGCTTTTGCACCATGGCTGGAATGATATATATAAACCACAAATAGCTTCTTAGAACTTCAAGAATAGCAGAATACTCCATGAAGTCCACTATAGACCTCACTGCATATATCTGTTCTACCTGTGCAGTACTTAGATCCTGCAGTAAGGAGTATGTTAGCAGATCATAAGTTAGATATATAGACAGACAGACACTGCCAATCAGCTGCAAATACGGATCCCATGAATAAGTTTGTGAGCTAGTATGTTCATTTGGAAAAGCATCTACTTCAGGTCATGGAACACTGGAAATATGCAGTGATGCTGGAATTCATATTACTAGCAGGGTAAATATAATCAGCTTCCATAGCGTGCTGTTGTAACCTAAAGTGACTGAGAAAGAGTTCTCCAGGATTGCTTTCAGTATACTCAAATCTGTTTTGATTTGGATCGAGAGGCTTAATCTTCTTCTTCTTACTTTAAAAAAAAAAAAGCTTAAGAATCTGGGCAATTTTATTTAAGCCTGCCAAACTCATTTTGCTATATGTACTAATCTCAATGGTCCATGTAACTGTGGAGATTTAAGCACACACAGGGGTTTAATTTTCAGTGGGGTTCAGGTCGATCCTTTATTTTGTAGGTTCAGTTTGTACCTACAAAACTTGTCCCTGCAAAAATAAATTGTGGACACAAATCTAAAGCATTTGTACTTTTAAAGTACCTGATTTACACCCACAATGAGTACTTGGTGATGAATGTACTTTCATTTGCACCTATGAAAAGAAGACTGCCCTTCTGAAAATGTACTCCCTAATGTCTAGATCCCTAATCAGAGAAAACGAGAGAAAATATTCATGAATTAGGAAAAAAATACTTTCTCAGCTCCAGCTAAAGTTACTTATTAGGATTGTAGCCTAAGGGAAAGGAAACAATTTAGAGGGGTCAGAGATGCTTTGTATATTTTGACAAACATAACAAATGTGCGTTTGCCATGGATCTAGTTTCACATCCCATTTATTCACAAAGAATGTCAATACAAAAGCGTAAGGCTAGAGCTCTGTTTAAAATAGAGTAAGCTACAACAGAGGAATTGTTCATGGGTTGAGTTCAGGCAGTCTCTATCTTAAGTCACAGCAAAAGACATGCTTATACTGTAAATCTCTTTATTAAAATAATGGAAAAATATTTCATACCATGCTTGCACATTTCAAAACAGCAGGCCATTATGACGCTATTATCCAGACTAGCCTCAATTTATACATTACTAGTAACTTCACTTCCAGTGCATGAATTTCCTTCGGGTTTGATTGTGCAACTCTTAGTCACGCTGGTGAGCACTGCATGAGCAGTCCCACTGAAATCAATTGAATTGCTCTGCCTGAGAAAGTACTCAGTCATAAAAATTGCACAGTCGTGCCCTTATCTTTTCAGACTATTCAACCAGTGTCAATAACCACTAGATGTCTCCACTCTGCCCTGGAGGCATGTTAAGACTGGAAAGTGAAGCAGAACATGTAGTTATCCCCATTGGTAGGCTATATAAAGTGAGCATAACAACAACAATACTCCTTCAATTTTCCTAGCTGCTATGTAGTGGGTGCTCTGTAAATGCCTAAAATAGATAGAATTTTTAAAGTTGCCTGGAGATTTAATGACAAGACTGCCATTAAAATCAGTGGGAGATGTATGGTTAAATTCTGGGCAGATCTTTTGAAAAATCTAGGATTTACAGTCTGTACAATTATGTCGCTATTGTCAGTGAAATATGAGGTTTGTCTCTGAGAGCTGGAAAAACAGTGGTACTATGAGCAGTGAGAAATTTGTATTTATTCAAAAGGCATCATAAATGTGTCCTGGGCTATCTTGTACTTCCTCTATGAACATAACTTTCTCTCCTCTCCCCTACCCTCCATTATGTTTTTGGAATGTGAACTTGGGGCTAGATCCACAAAGGGACTTAACTGCCTGTCACTCAGGTGCCTAAATTCAACATTTTAGTGACACTGAGCTCTTCAAAACTCCTACTCAGTTGCCACCTAATCCTGGAGGTGCCTAAAGTTCCTAGGCCCTTATGTTTCCACTGGTAAAGACCTCAGGGCACCTAAATGTCTGCCAGTTAACATGCCCATAGGAGCCTGTGTCCTGACATCTCTGTGTTCATGCCTGAGCTGCAACAGAAGTCTCAAACTAGGTGTTCCCCCACCACTGGGGCCCTGCTTCAGGCAAGGATTCAAACCTACAGCGCCCACATCCCAGGAAAGTGACCTAGCTAGTGGGCTGTTAGATATAATAAGGATCCCCACCTTCTTCTCAGATTTTTTGCAAGAAAGGACTGACAGGGCTTAGGTGCCTAACTCCTGGAGAAAGTTCACAGCTGTGAATCCTGAGTGGAGGCAGGCACCTAACCCTCTGAGAGGGGACTTAGGCCCCACCCCTCTCCTTAGCTGGCTAGCGGGGGTGTCTCACAGCTCAGTTTGCTGGCTTCTGGGAACCCCTGCTTAGGTGCTGTGCTCTCCCTGTGCATGGTATAGAGAGCCTGGGCACTTCACTTAGGGCTCTAGATTCCACTAGGCAGGGTGCCTAAAAGTTAGGCATTGCAACGTCTAAGGCCAGGGCCGTCCCTAGGCATACCCAGAATACGCAGCTGCATAGGGCACCATGACATTTGGGGCACCAGCTCTGGCGACCAGCCCTATCCCTTGGCCGGCCGCCCCCCCGCGGGCTGTGCCCACTGCAAGGGGCACGACCGCCCCTAAGGGGGTGTGGAGCCCCGGACAACTCCCTCCGCCCCACCTCTTAGCCTTCCCGCCTCCTCTGCCCACCCCCATTCCACCTCTTCCCCCAGCGACCCCGCACTCCCTGGCAGCGGCGGGAAGCGGAGCAACCTGGCCCCAGCCCGTTCTACTCCGCCAGCTCCCAGCCACCTCGCTCTGCTTCCCGCCGCTGGTGAGTGCGGGGGCGGGGGAGACCCCCTCCCCTGAGCGACACGACTGGGGCGCGGGGAGCGGAGCGGGCTGGGGCCGGCTCGCTCCGCTTCCCACTGCCGGTGAGTGCGGGGGTGGGGGAAAGGAGCGCCCCCCTCACTCCCTGGCGGCGGGAAGCGGCTCCAGCCCGCTCCGCTTCCCTCGCCCCGGCCCCAGCTGTGTCGCTCGCTGGGGGGAAGTGGAGCACCGCGGCTGGGGCCAGGCTGCTCCGCTTCCTGCCGGTGAGGGGGGGACCCCTGCCTCCAAACCTCCTCCCCTGAGTGACGGGGCTGGGGCGAGGGAAACGGAGCAGACTGCTCCTGGTCCTCTGCTAATCCTCTTGGGCCTCCCAAAGTGGCCCCCCACAGCTCCTGCCTCCCGGGCCCCACAGACCTTGAGCGCAGCCCAGACCCTGGCGGTGGGGGGGCGAGGAGCAGGTACCCGCCCCCGCGGAAGCCTGGGGCTGCATATGGCTAGGGACGGCCCTGTCTAAGTCCCTTTGAGGATCAAACACTTAGCTCTTCTGAGAACTGCCGGATTGAAAGGCCAGAAGAATGAAGTCCTGTGTTTATTACAGATTAAGTATAGCAGCAGTGAAAGATCCCCTATGCTGTCTTTTCAAGGTGCTTGAACCCTAAGCAGGAGAGACTGTTTTATGAAGGGGATTTCTGTCTCTGGGCTCATTCAGTCCTTGGCCTCTCTGCTGAGACTCACCACAGTTAACACTTATTGGCACGCTGGTTGGCAAAGTTTATTTTTTAAAAAAAGTAATGTAACATAACACATATCTAAATGTACTTCATAAAAGTGGGTATAAAACTACAGTATTATACCAATTATACAGATGGGGAATCCGAGGCAGGAGCAGGTATAAGTGACTTGCCAACTCACAATACTGGGAATAGAACCCAGCTCTGCTGGGTCCTAATCTAGTGTTTCATTTACCAGAGTGCTTGGGGGTACCTATACACGGTTATCTTATTATCTGTATTACGGAAACACCCAGAGTGTTCCAGGACCTTTCCGTTCATACAATCTAAGACAGCAACTCCCAAACTTTACTGGTTCACATACCACCTTCTTTAAAAATTGTGAAGTGAATGGATGGATCATCAAGCATGTGTACCCGAGTTTGGGAACCCCTGATCTAGGCTGTCAGACAGGAAATCCTAAATGTATGAAACGCACAAAACACAGTAGAGGTGGGTTGAAAATATGAGGTAACAGTAAAGACAACAGAGTAGAATAGAAAAAAAAAGTCACAGCTTCCATCTTGCTTTTTCTATAATGTGTCTTGTACTCTAGTGAAGACTAGAAATTAGTATTGTTTAACTAATGCTGCAACATCACATTTCTTTTAGTGAGGTGTGAATCTGTTTGGATAAAATAAGAACAACTACAGCTTTTCCTCAAAAATTTACCTGAACCCTCAGCAAAGCTTGATTGACCTTTCCCTCTCTATTATATTTCATTTTTTGCATAGTCTCTAACTATAAGGCAAGTTTTCCAGAACTCAGATCATTCTTGTAGTTCTTTTCTGAACCCTTTCCAATTTCCAGTATTATTTTTCAACTGCGAATACCAGAACTAAACAAAACATTCCAGTAATGGTCTTACTAATGCCATATACAGCAATAATACCATCTCTCTAATCCTATTCGATACTCCCCTTCTTATGCATCCAAGGGCTGTGTTTGCCCTCTTCACTATTTAATATTATTATATTACTGCATCCAAAACACCCCCCCCTATGTTAAAAGAACTTCAAGGCTGCAAAATCAAACATTCAAAAATTAGGAAATGCCAGACTTAAGGATCTCTCTGCTACCTTTAATTCTGCCTCCCTTCTGCATTATGATAGTCTTTAATTGCGTGATCACATTGTATTTTCCACAGGATCACTGCCTCATTCAGTGAATGAATACTTATTCAATATTTCTTTTTATCCTTATTCAGTGTGTGGCCCCAGACCTTATTCACCACACAAACGTTAATTAATTTTCTTCACAATGCCCCTGTGATATTACGTGGTAGTTCCTCATTTTAGAACTGGGGAATTGAGACACAGAGATAAAGGTAACAATTGGTAAAAGTACCCACTCATTTAAGGTGCACAACTTGAGACGCTGAGGGCCTGATTTTTCAGAGTACTTAACAGTTTTATAGCACATTATATATTCAGATCACAGCTGTGAATGCCCTGCATTTCTGCAAATCTAGCACCAAGTGTCTCATGGTAAGCACCAAGAAAATGAGGAACATACAATTAGTGGCCAGCTGTGAACACTTTTTGGTTTGAGTGACTTGCCTGGCATCACATAGGAACTCTGTGTTAGAGAGAGGGATAGAATCAAATTTTCCAGGGAAGTACTGAACTGCCTTAACCATGAGATGATCCTTTCCCTCCCTGCAATCCCTTGCCTCCAACTTCTGCAACAAATTAGGAAGTAGTCCTACAGACAATAACCTTCTTCACTACACAACACTTATACATTCCCAGAGCAGGTCTAGCATGTTACTCCTGAGGAAATTCAGCACCAAAAAAATTAAATATTCTGCACACAAAAATTAAAAATGCTGCGCACAATATTTTAAAATTCTGGAAAATTCTGCTTACTATATTTGTCAAAATAACACAATATAACCACACCATTTTTATTATTTGCTGACAAGTATTTTGAAATAAATTACAAAAATAATTGAAAATGGTGTGATTATACTCTTCTTGTGTTTCTGTGTTATTTTAACAATATGCAGAACTTTGCAGAATTTTAAAATATTGTGCACAGAATTTTAAATTTTTTTTGTGCAGAATATTTAATTTTTTGGTGTAAAATTCCCTCAAAAGTATCAAGGTTCTGTGTGGTGCAATCTGGGTGCAGGCAGCTCAGTGGGGGATCTAGGTGCAGGGGGGAATCTGGATGTACAGGGCTCAGTGCGGGTTTCTGGGTGCAGAGGGAATGAGACTCTGTAGGGGAGTCCAGGTGAAGGTGGTTAGGGCTGTGCAGGGGAGGACTGTGGGAGTGGGGCTTGATGGTGGGGGGGTCAGGGTGAAGCTGATTGGGGTTCAGTGGGGTGGGGGTCCAGGTGTGGGGGGCTCCTGATGCAGGGGATGATGCTTGGTAGGGGATTGGGGGGCTTTGTGGAAGGGGGGTTCCGGGTGTGCAGCTGGGGGGAGGGGTCACTGTACAGGGAGCTGCTCCCCCGTCCACCCAGGGAAAGTTTCTGGGGCTTGATCTGACCCAGTCCTGGCTGCTCCGTGCAAGGGAGGGGGAACTCCATCTCCATCCTCCCCATCTCCCACCCAGCTGGGACTAATGTCCCTGGGTGGCCGTGGCATCCCCAGACCTCTCTCCCCGACTGCCCGAACAGACATGTCTGAGCTGCAGAGCTGCCAGGGAGGGGTCATTGAGTACTGGTGCAGTGGCTCTTTGCTCCCCCCCACAGAAACCTTTTTCTTCAAGGAAGCAGAAAGGAATCTGTGGGGGGGAGGGGGCATTTTTCTGCTGCTCCACAGGGGCACAGAATTTCCCCAAGAGTAGCATGTGCACTGAGAGGCAAGGGAACTGTGGAAATAGGTAGTAAGAGGCTCTGCTTACAATTATAATGCCTACACATAAGTGGGGTGAATTAAGGTTGCATGGGCAACTTTTAAATCTGACATCTCCTAACTTTTGAGAACTTGACTTTACAACTTCACCATTCTTTTCACATTGTTTTTTAAATATAATTTCCTTACTTTAAAAAAATTTGGAAAAAATCTAGAAATTCCATCATGTGGAACCATACTGACCCCCAGCTTGGGTTATTAGCAGTATTTGGACCTTAGACCACTACCACTTAGCTAATGGAGTAACTGATGGTAGTAGTAGAAGATTAAATATGGGGTCAGCTTCTAGAGGAGGTCGAGACTCACTCTTTGCCAGGGGTTTCACATATATGTGCGGACAATAGAGATACGTAGATACTCAGGACTCTTGGGTTCAGTTGCAGGTTCTGGAGAGTAGTGTGTTTTTCCAAAGTTATAGACCCTTCTATCCCTGTATCCGCCACAAGTTTATCTCTGTACACCTTTCTTCCTATCTATCCATTCCTAGCTCCTGTCCCCTCTTCCTCAGCTATAATCTTCCCTCTTATTGACACCTATATTCCCCTCAGTACCCTGTCCCCCTCCCCTTCTGCTGCTTCCCTGACTGGCTCCTATCTCCCACTGCTTCCCCCCATATCTTTTGGCTACTGTTCCCCCCTTTGAAAAAAGAACAGGAGTACTTGTGGCACCTTAGAGACTAACAAATTTATTTGAGCATAAGCTTTTGTGAGCTACAGCTCACTGCACTGTCTCTCTCATTCCTCACCCCTCTTCATTCTAAACCAGGCTGCTTTCTTCTTCTGCTCAATACCTGGCTGTCAGCAGTGGAAGCACTAGGAGCACAAGAGAGAGAGAGTCTCCCTGTTCTCTTTCCTGGGGTCTACTGCTATTGTGAATTGCCAGGAAAGTCCTGCTCAGGCCAGCCCCTGCAGCCCCATGGTGGAGTACACACAGTGTAGTCTGCACATAGGAGCTGTGGAGGGCTCAGTGCAGACAGAATCTTTGGAGACTTTAGCAGCTTTACTCTAACAAGTTTCCCTTGATCATGTGTGAGCTGAGTTTTTTTTTTAAAGGCTCATACCTTGTGAAAATAGTTTTTCATGGGAACAGTAAAAGCCACATATCTCTCACACACACACACACAAAAATTTCAAGTCCCTGCTCCAAAGCATGGAGACACTAGAGCATCTAAAAAATAATGCACTGATTGTAAAAATAATGTGAGCAAAATAATGGATTTTTCCCTAATCTCACCTGCAGAAACAGCTCAATTGTTTTGGCTGAAACTTTCAAAACAAAAAGCAACCCCCCTCCCCAGAAAAATTCAGCCCGAGGCAAGCACCGAGAGTGGAAAATTTCAACTCAAGTGGTTTAACTTGCAAAGTTATATGCAACTGAAAACAGGATCTTAGAGTGTGTGTGTATATGTGTGTGTGTATATATATATATATATATATGATAAAGAAGACTAACTAAACTACTACTAACTACCCTATGAAACTTAAAACTATTTCTCTTTTGTCACAGACATTGGGACGCGGCTACAAAACTCCATGTCAGGCCAGAGATGGTTGAGAAGGAACTGAGGGGGTTGGGCTGTGCGTGTGATAGATGAGGCGCCAATGGCGCTGCGAGACCACCACTGGGCATGCACGACCCAGACGGACACTGCTGCTGAAATTCTCCGATCAATGGCACAGGGGTGCACCAACACCTGAAGTGGAGCATCCACAGGGGGACACATCTCGAGGAACCTCAATTACAGTACCAGGTGAGTAACCTTCTCTTATAATAGGAAGTGCCCAGCAACTTTAACAATAGGTTTTACTACCTACACTGCCTATATTATTATACTATCTTAGCTATATTACTATTATTATTGAAGTTCTTTACTGACAAACAGCTGCTGCCAGCTGGACACAGGATTCACTACACTGTGAGTTAGGGGTGTGATTCCTCTGCTCGTATACAGATACTTGCTCAAATGAATAGCAGTGTAGCTGCGGTAGCCTGGTAGCAGCAGCAGAGACACCCTTGAGCCATGCCGAGGACGAATCCACCGGTTTCAGGCAGGTTTGGACTCGGCATGGCTCAGCTGTGCCTCTGCTGCTCCTGCCAGTGCCACTGTGGCTACAATGTATTTATACTAGCGCTTGACCGATGGGCGCTCGCATGAGTACATGTCCATGAGCAGGGAAATCGCACCCCTAGCGAGTAGTGCGGAAACAGCCTAAATCTCAGTCTGATCTCACTTACAGTGGTGCAATACATCTGCATGAAACAGGGTGAGCTCAGAATCAGGGCCGGAGTATCTATCTCTTGGGAGAACTAGACCACAGGACAAACTTTCGTAAATTCTTCAATGAAGGTTGGCAAAAGGCACTTTTGAGCATTCCCCAGGCGATGAAATATGAGCTAGGCAGAGCTGAATCCAAGGCAGTACTTCATATGTTCTTGGGTTCTGCTGATGTTTCCACACTGCAAGCCAGCCTCCCTCTCACATTTTCTGTTATCAGCAGAAGTGGCTAAAGGAATGTACTGCTGTGCGTCCTACGGCCAGGTTTGTATTCTTCTACATTTAATCATGTCACTTGGTAATTACAGAAGGATTTTTTTCACTTTTTTTTTTTAAAGAACTTGGAACTTGAGGGATCAGTGATGTGAGTTTTAAAATCATTTCACAACACATCCTACATTGCGACTGGGAGTGCGAGAGAGACCAAAAATAATGTTCAAAGCTGCCTGAAGGACATCACAAAAAACTGTGACAAGTTGAAAATAGCGATCTCATTGTTCTGTGGCACTTTGGGAACATAACAGTATTTAGCCCTTTTTATCTGTGGGTCTCAAAGGGGAGTTATTAGTCTTACCCTCATTGTCTAGCTGGTGAAACTGAGGCACTGAAGCAACTCTCACAAGGTCACATAGGAGAGCTGGACATAAACCCCAAGTCCACAAATTCCCAGGCTGGGCTACTAAACTATTCTGTGTCATGATAGGTGATACTGTGCATTGATTGATGTGGTTAACCACTGAATGGCATTCCCTGTCATATGCCAGGGAGACTTAAGAAGTTTGATGTAGCCCTGAAAACAGGTACTTGTAGATTTGGTGGATATTGTGGCACTGTCACCTTTACATTAGCTATGGTCTGAGATAGCAGTGTTCAGATATGGATTGGAATTAGGTTTATAGTGGGTTTCGGTTTGAGGGCAGACTAAGGCTAGGGTGCTGGTTCACATTTGAGTTGGGGAGATCCTATGCTACTCACTTGCCTCCTGATCTTGGCAAATTTCCATCTGATGAGCAGGATCAGTGAAAATGTAGGTGGCTGCTTGAGGATTTTTAATCCCCTGGGGACAAGCAGTGCAGTTCCTGCCAAAACCCTCATGACTCCTCTTCCCTTGGACTTGTGGAGATGAGAACTGCAGGAGCTGTGTAGTTTCCCCTTCTTCTGGTTCCATGGGATAGGAAAGTGAAGGCACCTCCAGAGGCTCCTTAGTTAGCAGTAGATCCACATAATATAGAGAAAACCACTCCTGCAGGTAATCTAGCTGGCCCTCATGGTAACAGTTGGGGGTGGGGGGAAGTGCTAGAGTGGAGTATGTGGGTCATGCTCTGTATGTGGGGCACCCAGAGCAGTGATGTCTCCTCCTCCCAATATATTGTATGTCCCTGTACCTATGCACAAAAGAACTACTTCTCAAAGAAGGCCCTTCTAGGGGTCTCATCAGTTACCTGGGGAAAGGTGCTGCTCCTGCAGGTTGATAGGAGTAGTAGTAGAGATTATAAGTGTCATGCTCCTCTAGAAAAATGTGTGCATTCGCTTTGTGAAAGCATCCTCAAGAGTCAATTGATTTGAGAGGTCTTATTCTAGAAAGCTTCATTTATGGGCAAATGAGGTTCTGTAGCTGGGGACCACCTGAAGTAGAGGGCATGATACTTTACGCACAGTGTGATAACAGAAAGCCTTTGGAACGTGCTGGAAAGTTCTCATATTTTGTTTTGGCTAAATCTGCAGGCCTACTGATGGAACACACTTCTCCTCACGGAGGTGGGAGCTGGGTTAATTTGACTCCTGCCTCTCTCTCTCCTCTCTTTCTGTTGTGCAAAGGCACCAATTTCCTCCCCACACCTGTTTCTCCTTCCCTTTCTTTAGGGAGTTGGGAATGCCAAGTGCTGGCAGGCCCTACCTCTATCTCAGCAGATAGGGAGACTCGTACTCCCTGGCAGACTTCTCAGCATGTAACTGTTGGGTCAGTGCCAGTTTCTACACCTCTTTTCAGCCCTCCCAATTCATGCTGCCTTCACCCTGCTGGTTCCCCATCAGAGCTGGGAACCGGTAGCTGAAGAACACCCTTAACAAAAGTCCTGCCTCTCAGAGTCAATCTTCCTTCCCCTTACTCACTGCTCAGTCCTGCCTTAGGCACGTAAGGTGTTGAACACCTTAGAATGGGCCAGTGGCCTAAGAATTTAAGATTCGATAGACTTGACTTGGAGCTGAGTCAAAACACACTATATTTTCCCACCCCCTATCACCCAAAAAGGGAGATGGACTGCATTCAGTTTATTTTGCACACTGCATATAGCTGTGAGACCTTTTCATTGCAACACCACCCCTTGAAGATACCCATAGCAAATCTGTTAGTTGTAGGTCATTTTTTTTTACTATACTATAACATGTTCCTTAACATCAAATTCTGAAGTTCATCTTTTCTCAAAATTAGGAACAACCACTACTTTTCATCTATAGTCACCTCTGCCTGGAGATTGGAATGAAGGACTTTATATATTTGTTTGCAAACACCTTGTTTCCTGAAGATGGCAGCAATGTCTTTACTATGCAATACACCCAGCTTCATCAGGTGGTTTTGTAGCAGAGCTACAGTACCAACTGTTCATTTCCACTGTGTCTGAGGATACATATGAGCATGAGAGAGGTTCAGAAGACAACGCTTTCTCGGTTGTGAAATGGAAAGGCCTGTTGTAGCTCCCTGGTGCCATCAGGGAAAACGTTCTTTTCATTTTAACATGACAAGCAAAATAACTCAAAAGGGCAGTCGTACACATTGTGAATGGTGTACTCTTGCTTGAGAGACTTCCTTAGAAATACAATGGTAGCAGATCAATGTGTAGAGTTAGCACTAATGAGCTATGCATTACTATTATGTTCATTTCACATCACTCATATAGTGTGATTTGAGTCCCAGGCCTGCTGCTTGGCTGAGTGTTCAGTGCTGAAGCTAAAGTAACATTTGCATCGAGCAGGTAAAAAGAGACTGTGGTGCTTTTGTGTGCGGAGGTGGTTAAATCTTTAAAGCAATGAAAAGAAAGCAAAGGAACTCTGCACCTTTGACCGGAGAAAAGTATGTGAGAGCTGCAATGTGGAGAATCACTTCTGCCACGATATCTAGATAATGCCTGACCCTTCAGAACATTTAAAAATGAATTTATTGCCACAGTGACAATGCTGGGGACTAATTATCCATGCAGCAGGTACAGCTTGAGCAAGTTTCCTCACATCATCCCACCAACATGCCTCGACCCTGACTTGGAGAGATGGTTTTTCATGCCCATTACAGCCACTGACCTTCTGTTGAGGCTGAAAAAAAGCAGAGCAGGTGCTGCAGTGGCTTTGGCAGGAGTACATCTCTCTGCTAGAAAATTATCTGAAAGGTGGCCACCAAATGTTAAAAGTTCTCTGGGTAAAATGTTTCAAAAGCAACTTCGACCTGGTCTACATGCAATTTGTACCAGTATAATTGCAAGGTAGGGAACACGTTGGGTTTTTTTGTTGTTGTTGTTTTTTTTAACTGGTACAACTCATAGTGTAGATGCAGTTATAGGTGTATAAAGGTGCATTATACTGATACAGTTTATTCCCTTTCCCTTATGGGAATAAGCTGTGCCACTCTAAGCACATATACGTTAATATAACAGCATCCACCCTTAGGGGGGTTGTAGCACTTTAATTATATCAGTGTAGTTAAAACAGCACAACTTTTTGTATGTAGATTTAAGCCCAGATCCTCCAAGGTGTTTAGGTGCCTAACTTCCACTGAAATCAATGGGAGATAGGCACCTAAACACCTTGGAGGATCTGAGCCTTAGGAGTCTAAGTCATGAAAAGTCAATGGGACTTAGGCTCTTTAGTCATTATCTGCATTTGAGAATGTTGCCCTCTCACTACTGCTGTAGGCCAAATTCAAAACAATATATGACTTGTTGAAATCACAGCTTGCAATATAAGAGATGTAAAAATGTAGTGTATATGAGCACATGATATTACAGTATCTGTTACAGTAAAGTAGTTTAAGAAACTAATTGATAATGAGAAGTCCTTCAAAAAGACTCCTGAGATGCTGCTTGCTGATAGCACTCAGACAGATGCTTTATCTAGGGCTTTAACATACTTTTCTTTCTGATCTCTAGTTCAAGACCAGTCCTAAGAAATATTTTCTGGTCCTGACAGAATTTCTACCGGTCCACATACGTGTTTCTAGCTTTAGCAGGTCATGATATATTGGCCCTTAAAAAAAAATCACATTTTTTATTATACTTGCTTCTCTCTCTCTCTCACTCACATACATACACACTTACTTCAATTCCAACATTATTTTCACAATCAGCCAGAATTAGGCCCTGTCTCCACTACCATTTTAACCAAATTTGTAATTAGTAACAAAATTGGGTCTAAATATAGCTTGTATATAACATAACAGGGTTAATGCTCAGGAGCCATGGTTGCTAACAGTTGTTTCATCCACGCTGGCAAATGTTTTTGTTCCTGTAACTGTTTGACACACTTCTGTTTGCATTGTCGATGGACCCACTTAACTGTGCTTGTGTGATCAGTTTGGTGGAACCTCCATCTCAGCTCTGAATATTGTCTCAGATTGCTTGTGTCACCCCGTGTGTGTGCTGTCAGGACACTATCTCCTGCTGAAGTACTATTTGTAGATTCCACGGCCAGAAGGGACCACTGAGATAATTTACTGCAGCCTGCACCCAGCTGGTTCTCAAAATATGTTCTCGCACCCCTTATCAAAAATCGTTGAAGTGGATCAGTTATTTAAACCTAGATATATTTTTGTTTGTATATTACAGTAATTGTTAAAAATGTATAATGTTAATAAATACATAGGTTTGATGAAACAAAGTAGTTGTACTTACGTGCCTGTGCTTAATTTGTTTTCAGTGATTTACCTTCTAAAAAAATTTGGTGTGTCTCGCACCCCCAGAAAGGGCATCTTGTACCCCAGGTTAAGAACCACTGATCGAGTCTCATTTCCCATATAACACAGACCATAGAACTGCCCACAAAATAATTCCTAGAGCGTATATCTTAGAAAAACATCCAATCTTGATTTAAAAATTGCCAGAGATAGAGAATTCACCAAGACCCTGGGTAAATTCTTTGAGTGGTTAATTACTATGGAATAACATTTTAGACTTTCCCAGAATGCACTGATACGAATAGTTACATAGTGGACAGACAAGTGTGGTTGACATAGTTTAGCGTTGTGAAAAAGCTTCTGGGTAGACATAGTTCAAACATTTTTGTTATATAACTGGGTCAGATTAGAAGGTCACAAATTGGTTATGGAAACATGGTTTGTACTTGTAGTGTATAGAGGGCTTTAGAAATTAATGCTTTTTATTGTTTGAAAGCTAAGATTTCAAACTTTGTTCTCTAGACATCATCAGATAAAACTATGTCAGAATTAAAATGGAGAAAGAAAGCAAGATGTTAATCAGAATAATGTGATTTTAAAGTCCAATGGCTCACAAGATGACTGTGAATAAAATATAAGTAAGAATAAAATAAATAAAAATAAAAGTAAAATACTTTAATATCTTCTGGAACACTAGCTTTTCAATGGTATAATCTTTAAAGCTATTACTGGTCCTTCAGTCCAGCAGTACTCTGAAGTACTGCTCCAGGGCTGAATATAACAATTCCAAGATTTTGGACCTGCATAATTTTTTATCCCTGATTTAGACATTTTTGAAGTAAGCCTGCTTTCCTTCCTGTAATGTCCAGACTTTATGTGAATGAGTTGGCAAATTATGATATCCTCTATTGAATGGCCCCCAGAGAGGATAACTGACTTGCTTATTAATCCCAGCAAAGGGAGTTTGCCTTTAGCTCAAGTGTTTCACCTGCATTTTGGAGCTGAGACCAGTGTTCTAGTCTTGGCTACTTAAATCAAAGAATGTGTTATTTATCTGAACATTGCTTGTCATCTGTTTCATATGAATGTGTTACACCGCCAGTGCTAAGCTCCCCAGCCAATACTTGTCCCATCAGGCTTGCACACATTTTGTATCTCAAGGAAGGAAAAAAGAAAAGAAGTAATTAACTCACAACATGAAGATATAGGTACACTGATAGCCAGAATGATCCAGGCAATGTCCACCTTGGTGAGACAAATGGTTGCTCTGTGCTGGGGTTTATCCCCCTCAGTGACATGGGAAATATTCCCGGGCATGCCAGGCTTCCAGGTTCCAGCAGGCACCAGTCTGTTTAGAAAGTTTCCCGTTGCTGTGGAGCCAGCTGTTGAAATGGAGCCAGCCAACCTTGTGGTGGGTGCTGTGGAGAGAGCCTGGTTGGATAAAGCAGCATTATTCACCATGGTGTGCTGCGTCATGGAGGTTCCTTTAGGGTTTCCCATTGTAGGTGATGAAATGTTGACATCAAAGCTGCTCTGAACTGAATGACCTGCTGCTGTTGCAGTTCCAGGGCTGGCAAACAAAGGTACATTTGTACCTGGACTCAAGGTTACCCAAGAGTTATTTTTGCTCAGGATATCCCATATATCATAGTGTGTGGATTTAAAAGGCACCGACACTGTTTTGGGATCAGTCGATGGGCCAGCTGTTGGGGGGGTAAGATCTGCTCTCTGCATAACTAGCCATGTTCCATTTACCTGCTCTGCTTTTTTAAGGCCTTCCAAGGTGTTGCTGTGAAGAGAAGAGCTTGCGTCTGTCGTCGTTGCTGGCCTGGTACTATTGGGATCATTGGAGGCTGCAATCTGGGGCTGAAATGGATGGGTAGTGAATGGGCGCCTCAAAGTAGGAAAGGGAGAGTGCAGTGCTGTCTTTAGGTAAGGCTCTGTAGATTCTGTGAAGCTGCCTTTGAAAATCTGAAATATTTTCCCCTTTGGGCGAGTCTGTCCTGAATACAAAGCACTCTGGTTGTATAAATGATATGTTTCCATTTTGGCAGCGTGATGGCTGCTGGTTGCTTGCTTCTGGTCAATGGTAGGGGCAGGTATCTCCATTGGGCGAGTTGAATGACTAGTTGTGGGAACGGGTCCTGTCGTGTGATGGCCTTTGTGTCGAGGTGTTATCCCCATGGCTGTGATAGCGGTAGTGTCTGTCAGGAGGCCCCGAGACGATACACTTGGAGGCAGTATCTGAACAGCAAACACCAGCTCTTCTGTCAGTGCCAAGATCAGTAGAACACCTTGAGGAAACGACACAGAAAGGTATTGAAATGAAAACCACAGAGGTACAGACTAAAATCCTTATTATTGTGTGCTCATGCTTTCCTTCTTCAAGCTTTCATGGTATTTTATAAGTTAGTTCACTATAATTTGTCAGGCACGCATACATTAGGTAAAGAGATTGCAGTGAGAGCCTTAGGAAGACACCAAAGCATTAAGTTATAGTGCAGCAGAAAAGTTCACGACTAACTGTAATCTTCACCTCCTTCTCTAAGAAATCAAGAAGGAAGGGACAAGGGAAAGAGAGCCTAAAGGAACTCTGAAAGCCCTAGTTCTTATTGGGGGAGGATTCCTCCAGTGTGGGAACTCAGGAAGGCAGCTGTAAGGTTGCCTTCTGACCCTAGCATAAGGGTCAGGCCAGACGCAGGGTTGGGAGTAGGAGGAGGGGTGTGTCCTGGGCAGGGCTGGAACATGTAGATTCCAGGCAGTGCTGCCACTCAGAGTCGCCTGCAGAAGGTGCTGTAATTGGGCTACTCTAGCCCCTGGAGCAGCCCAGGATCTGGAGGTGCAAAAATGGTTTAAAGCCACCTTAGTTTCCCACCTGCTGGGCTTCAAGATCTGTGGTGGGCTCCTGGCATGTAGTAGAAGGGGGAATAGGCATCACACATAGCCCCTAACATGTGGTGGAGGGGTGGGAGGAGTCCCTGAAATAGATAGGAATGGGAAGGTGGCACATAGGGAGCTGGTGGGGAGTGATCTGAGGAGCCCCCGGTGTGTCCAATGTGCCCGGTCAATAGAAGCTTTAGAGTGTACCCCTAGGGGGTTGCAATTAAATCAACATATTTTCAATTTTATTTGTGCCCAGGAGCACCCCCTTCCAGACAGCTTCCCACTTTGTTGTGAGCCTGTTGCGGTTTTTAGCTTCCTTGTTCTTTGGCTAAGATTGTTAAGCATCAGTAGTGATTTAGGGTGTCTCTGTTTTTGAGTGCCAAACTGGAGATTCCTTAAAGAGATCTGATTTTTTGAGCAGGTGGATGGCTCATCACTTTCTGAAACTCAGATCTCTTTAACGTGTCTAAAGTTGGGCACAAAGAAATTGAGACACCCAAAATCACTGGTCACTTTTGAAAATCTTGCCTTTTATCTACAGTGTCTGAGAAGTGCAAAACACTCAAACACTCTAACATGGGCAAATTCAAAAGACCACAGTTTTGAAACTACAGTATTATAGGCTTCCAATTTTGACCCAATACAGTCAACCTCTGTTTTAACTTTGATAGGGATGTGTCAAGGTTCCTCCCCCACTCTGAACTCTAGGGTACAGATGTGGGGACCTGCATGAAAAACCTCCTAAGCTTATCTTTACCAGCTTAGGTCAAAACTTCCCCAAGGTACAAAATATTCCACCCGTTGTCCTTGGACTGGCCGCTACCACCACCAAACTAATACTGGTTACTGGGGAAGAGCTGTTTGGACGCGTCCTTCCCCCCAAAATACTTCCCAAAACCTTGCACCCCACTTCCTGGACAAGGTTTGGTAAAAAGCCTCACCAATTTGCCTAGGTGACTACAGACCCCGACCCTTGGATCTTAAGAACAATGAACAATCCTCCCAACACTTGCACCCCCCCTTTCCTGGGAAATGTTGGATAAAAAGCCTCACCAATTTGCATAGGTGACCACAGACCCAAACCCTTGGATCTGAGAACAATGAAAAAGCATTCAGTTTTTTACAAGAAGACTTTTAATAAAAAATAGAAGTAAATAGAAATAAAGAAATCCCCCCTGTAAAATCAGGATGGTAGATATCTTACAGGGTAATTAGATTCAAAAACATAGAGAACCCCTCTAGGCAAAACCTTAAGTTACAAAAAAGATACACAGACAGAAATAGTTATTCTATTCAGCACAATTCTTTTCTCAGCCATTTAAAGAAATCATAATCTAACACATACCTAGCTAGATTACTTACTAAAAGTTCTAAGACTCCATTCCTGGTCTATCCCCGGCAAAGACCCAGCATACAGACAGACACAGACCCTTTGTTTCTCTCCCTCCTCCCAGCTTTTGAAAATATCTTGTCTCCTCATTGGTCATTTTGGTCAGGTGCCAGCGAGGTTACCTTTAGCTTCTTAACCCTTTACAGGTGAGAGGAGCTTTCCCCTGGCCAGGAGGGATTTCAAAGGGGTTTACCCTTCCCTTTATATTTATGACAGGATGTTTGAATTATCATTTCCTGTGCTTGTACATGTTGTGGAATTTGGGGTTCTCTGTAGGCTTTTGCCCTTCCCACCGCCCAGGAAGTGACTATTAGCTCATGAAAAGTAACACCGGCAATGTGAATTCTTGTGTTTATCTCTAATCCAGATAACAGTAACAGTAGAAGTCCTTACCCTGTTCTGCTGATGTACCCCTATGTCACTACAACTTGCAGGAACCACACTGATGCCATGTCTCCATTTGCTGAAACTGTCAACTACCTTGTGGATGCCTGCCCACTAGAAATGCACTGAGAAAACCAATTCATTTTTAAGAGGCCATTGGCCACCACTAGATGGCAGTACTAAACTGGTTGGCATTAGAACCAGTGATCCTGAGAGGAAAGGCTCCATAGCCTATAACCAGCCCACTGAGCCAAGTGTTTTGAACGTCTTGGACACCAAATTAATCCATTTTAATCCTTGCAATTTTAAGCCTTCCAGCCAGCAGTGTGGGACACCCACACAACCTCCTATGCGAGCACTATTAAAAGCCATTTTGATGTTAATTCACTTGGGAGTAATTTCTCACCACTGAAAAGTGAAACCTCTGTAGAATGGGGCTCATGAGCATCAAGGAAGATGTTGCATTATAACTTCCACTGGGGTCCCTGGACACTGCTGGGATTAGTTATTTTGATTTTATACAAATGCCATACTAAAGGATGCCCATCCCGAGCCCTTGAAAAGAAAGGACTTAGTAGATATAAAGTAAAAAACCCCTAAAACAAACAAACAAAAAAACACATTAAAAAAAACCCAACCACCAAAGTAGTAGCACTTTTTCCTCCTGCCCTACCACATGCTAGTTGATCACAAGCCACGTAACCCATACAGCTTAGAACTGCCTCACTGTAGTTTCCCCACCCTAAACTGCCTTATCCCTCCACTCATGCTCACTCAGTATGTGTTGCTGCCTATACAGGAGGTCAACAAATTGACTTTAAAATACAGTGTATAAAACTTTTATACAAATAACTAGGGCTGTCGATTAATCACAGGTAACTCACGCGATTAACTCAAAAAAATTAATCGTGATTAATCGCCGTTTTAATTGCACTGTTAATATTTTGGATGTTTTTCTACATTTTCAAATACATTGATTTCAATTACAACACAGAATACAAAGTGTACAGTGCTCACTTTTATATTATTTTTATTACAAATATTTGCACTGTAAAACTGATACAAGGAATAGTATTTCAGTTCACCTCATACAAGTACCGTAGTGCAATCTCTTTATCATGAAAGAGCAACTTACAAATATAGATTTTTTGTTACATAACGGCAGTCAAAAACAAAACAATGTAAAACTTTAGAGCCTACAAGTCCACTCAGTCCTATTTCTTGTGCAGCCAGTGGCTAAGAGAAACAGTGGGAGATATTTATGGGAGATAATGCTGCCCGCTTCTTATTTACAATGTCACCTGAAAATGAGAACAGACGTTTGCATGGCACTTTTGTAGCCGGCATTGGAAGGTATTACGTGCCAGATATGCTCAGTGTTTGTACGCTCCTTCATGCTTTGGCCACCATTCTAGAGGACATGCTTCCATGCTGATGATGCTCGTTAAAAAAATGTGTTAATTAAATTTGTGACTGAACTCCTTGCGGGAGAATTGTATGTCTCCTACTCTATTCCACCCGCATTCTGCCATATATTTCATGTTATTAGCAGTCTCGGATGATGACCCAGCATGTTGTTCTAAGAACACTTTCACTGCAGATTTGACAAAATGCATAGACCCCAATGTGAAATTTCTAAAGATAGCTACAGCACTTGATCCAAGGATTAAGAATCTAATGTGCCTTCCAAAATCTGAGAGGGACGAGGTGTAGAGCATGCTTTCAGAAGTCTTAAAAGAGCAAAGCTCTGATGCGGAAACTACAGAACCCAAATCCACCTTCTGTTGGTGGCATCTGACTCAGATGATGTAAATGTAAACAAACTTGTTTGTCTGAGTGATTGGCTGCACAAGAAGTAAGACTGAGTGGACTTGTAGGCTCTAAAGTTTTATATTGTTTTGTTTTTGAATGCAGTTTTTTGTATATAATTCTACATTTGTAAGTTCAACTTTCATGATAAAGAGATTGCACTACAGTACTTAGTATTTTCCAATTCATCCAATACATTTCTTTTTTTACAGTGCAAATATTTAATCAAAAATAAATATAAAATGAGCACTCTACACTTTGTATTCTGTGTTGTAATTGAAATCAATGTATTTGAAAATGTAGAAACAGCCCATAATATTTAAATAAATGGTATTCTATTGTTGTTTAACAGAGCGATCAATTTTTTTTAATTGTGCGATTAATGGTGATACATTTTTTAATGGCTTCACAGCCCTACAAATAACTCAGCACCTTCTAGTGACTGACACAGATGTCAGCGAATGCTTTTTGCTTCTGAAATAAAATAAATAAATAAACTTCACAGATAAGCCCCAACCTGGTATCTTGCTCTCCACCCCTAACCAGAAAGGAAGACACTTGATCAAAGTGAAAAAATATACTATTGTGGAACAATGAGATGCTTCTAACAGACAGGAATACCAATGGAGCACCACTCAGTGAAATGCAGGGAAATTTTTCTGACCGCACATACTGTGAGGTCAAGGTCAAGGCAGATAGTTCAGTGATCAAATGGCTAATATTTCATGCCAAGACAAGTAGCTGCAGGGGAACAATTTAAAAGGGAAGAATGAAGATTTGTTTTGGATTCTGGAGATAATGTTTCAGAAAAGTTCTGGGGTACTGCTC